CGCACGTGCGCGCGGGGTCGGGGTCGGGGTCGGGGGCGGCGCGCGCGGGGGCGAGGGACGGGTGCGTGGTGGCGAGGAGCGCGTGCAGTTCCGCGGCCTCGGACGGGGACGGGCGGGGGTGGTCGGGGAAGGGCGAGGCGAGGGAGTGGGACGCGAGGAGCTTGAGTTTTTTGGCCTTGTGCGTCGACGACGGCTGCGGGTCGGTGTCGGCGGACGGGCTGGGGGAGCGTGGCCGTTTGAGGTTAGCGGGCATTGGAGGTGTTCGGAGGAGATGTGTTGTTCGGGGAATGAGTGCAGGACGACGGAGATGAAGTCGCCGGGGACGGTGGAGGTTGAAGTTGAAGTTGAAGTCGAGCGTTGAACCGCGTCGGCGCTCGATGCCGATCGCGCGTGATCTGCCCCCGATTCAATCTCCGATCTGCTGGCCATGGCTCTCCTGGAAAACAAACTTGTCGAGAACAAAACAAGCTAGCGCAAGTGCTCTGATGAGCGGAGACACTGCGCAAGCGACATGGCAATTAATCCAACACAGAACTAGACACCGACGTCGTACTCATCAGCAGCGTGACATTTCCAACCCACGTCCGCCGACTCGTCTGCGATAGGATCAATATCCAATGCAGACCACCTGCGTCCTCACTCTCACTTTCTCTTCAATGTGTCAGAATGATAGCCCTGCACACATGACACAGTCCCGCGCAGACACTACGGGAAGCCTTCCGTCTACTGATTATCCTTGATGCCCGCCCGGCAGAACCCAGCACGGCCAGCGCCCGTCTTCCTGCACCGCTGACCACTCTGGTCACGAACGACCCAGCCACTCTCCCCGTCCCCGCGCACACATCCTCCTCCCACACTCCCGCCTATCCGCATCTCTTTACGTCTTCGCACTCTGCGCGGAGAGAGAGAGCAGGGCAAAGATTGTTAACACGCTGATCCGCTGATATGGCAATCGCCCAGCCGATCGAGCTGATCCTCGTCTTCCTGCGCACTTACATTCGCACCGCCGCACGCGAGCGAGAAGGGCGACGGACGCCCACGGAGGGAGGGTCCTGCGTAGCACCGCGCCCACGCACCATCTCGTGGGGGCACGCCTCGCGCACATATCGGCCTGTGATCGCACCACGCAGAACGTACGTAAACCACGTCCCAGCAGCGTCTGCGCACGCACATTGCGTCACTCCAGCCACGCCCGCACCCAGCGCCAGCGCAATTGCGTAAGGCGCGAGCCCTCACGCGCGCAGCACGGCAGATTTACGTCCGCAAATTCAAGTCTGGAAAAAACGTACACAGCGTCGACGATGATCCGCGCGTCATGCTGGGGAGTTGGGGCGTCGCCGAAAATACGCACCCGTTTGTCCGCGGGGAACGTGGCCGCAGGAGGCACTTTGGCGCGGGCGTGAGGCCGAGCTGCTGTCGGAATGAGCCTGCATCGCTGCCGCGTACCGAGCACACTTCACAACCCCCGTCCCCGCACCGTGTCGCCTAGGGAGACCACGAGCGATATTCCGTCAAATGACGGTGGAATGCAGCCCGCGTCCGCGACGCATCGAACGTGGGTGGGCCGGATGCTGTGCTTCACGCAGGGGAGCTGCGCGGTATTCTTGCATATTCCTGCTCGGCTGGGGGACGCAGTGACGGACGAGGAGATAACATCAATTTGCACTCATGTGCGGCGTGTCCAAGTGCGCCGATACGCCCAATCCAGGGCAAAGCACGCGCGTCGGGCAGCGAAAAAATGCCATGAAACCCTCGCGGAACTAGTGCCGAGGGCCACCGCGTTGCCCACCGGCCAGCACGCCGTGTTATCGATTGCGTCCCCCCCGTGCGAGTAGTGTCAGCCGTGCAGCGAAGAGGAGCGCAGCGGCTAAGTATACTCGCCCAGCCCACGTCCCGCGAGCTGATCACATCGTAGACTGTCGCGGAAGTATCCGTACGAGCGGAAGAGCAGCTGTGATCCGTGCGCCGTCAAGCGAACTAGTGAGACAGTGAGACTAGCTAGCTGGACAGCCATCCCCAGCGGGCCTGTCGCAAGCGGTGATGAGCACCAGACGGCACGGAGCACGGTCCTCAGCAGGCTGCTCGCCGCGTCTCCGGCCGTCTGCGAGGCGGACGCGCAGCTCCCGTGACCGTCGAAACGTCCGCGCAGGGGGCACATGAATCAGACGAGGGCGAGGCCGAAGAGGGTGCACACACACAGTCAAGGTTTGTCTCGCCGGTGGGAGAGATAGACATTGTGAGATTGCGACTGGGTTATACTATACACGGCGCGCGGGATCCGATAGCAAGGTGAGGGATGCCGAGTCTCCGGACAGGTAGTTCGAAGTTTCCTTATTTGGCAACAAAGCGAGAGGGCGGATATGTCTCCGTGGATGTAGTCGCGGCTGTCGATGAGGCCGGCAGGAGGGGCGGGAGTAGCGGTTGCGCATATGATTTGTGACCCCCCGACCCTGGCTGCGTGGTCCTCGTGCGCGATTGCCCTGAGTCGGTCCGGGAGAGTGCGGCATCGGTTCATTTCCGCCAGGACCGTATGGACCGGCGTCGGGCGAGAGGGTCATGGGATATCCGGCACGGGGAGGGGGGTGGGAAATCACGACCACTGTGGGCGGCGGCGGCGGCGTCGGGGGGCGGGAGCGTGGATGTCGCGTTGTCCCTTCACGGCGAACGTGGTGAAGAGGGGGATGGGTGATCCCAGAGCGATCGGATCCACAGGAGATGGCGGGGCCTCCCAGGGAGGAGATGCCATTCAGTGTGGGCGTCGACAGGACGGGCCTGGGGGAGGGGGACAGGGTCAGACCTGCCGGATAGAGCACTCGGACAAGCGTGGCAAGTCGATCCCCAGATAATACCGATATACTCAGGGATGTGTCATGGCCAACTTTCGCGAGGGACGATATCGTTTCCGATTTACGAACACTGACGACACGAGGTGTGCACGCATCCGGGATGTGTCGGACAAGCGAGAGAGGGTACAATGTCAATATCGGCAGCGCCGTGTCGGGGAGGGAGAATTGACTCTGACACTGCTGCTCTGCTCTGAGCGTGGGCGAGGGCGAGGGAGGGCGCCTGCACGCACCTTTATCGGGAAGAGATAACGGCAGGAGAGACAATAAGGGAGAGGGAAGGGCGGACAACAATAAGATATCGTCGCAGGAGCAGATGGCTGATGGGATGCGAAGGCGGCGATGTTGGGGGCTGTTTGGCGACATAATGGAGGCAGGCAGCCTGTTCGGGTTTAGGCCTTGGGCGCCTCCCCCATCGGTTAGACAATGAACTAGATCTCCTGCCCAGATCTCGCCGAAGACGCAGGCGCCCTGCACTCGGCGGAGCGGTCATATCACCTCGTATAAAGACGCACGCCCGTATTGTCTTCGCCCTCCGTCTCTCTCCAATTGTTCTCCCTCGGGGCCTCTGAGCCACCCCCCATCACCTCCCTGCCGCTTTCGGGAGCGTCTTTTGTCTTGCCTCGAGGGCCCAAGCCCAGCGTTTTGCGAATAATACACGCCTCTTCCAGCCGGCCACGAGAACAATCATGCCTGCCCACCGCACTCGCGAAACATCCTCCCGAAGTAAGTAAACACGTCCGCTTCCCGCATCCCCACACAGTCCACTCACCGCCTCACCCGTCCCCCAGCCCTCGAAGTCTCGACGGACGCGCCACTACCCCCGACAGTCGCCATCATTTCCCCGACGCCGCGCGCACTTCACTTTCCTATCAACTCTCCCGACGTTCGTTTTGCCTCTCCGTCCAGCTCCCCCTTCGAGTTAGATCACAAACCATGCACGCCTCCCCCGCCGCGCCCTCTCTCCCCCACTTCCTCCATCGGCTCCGAAGCCTCCTCCATTCTCTCCACCCCGTCCGCACGCTCCTCGCAGGCCTCGCACAAGCGGCGTAGATCGACCGCCAGCGATATTGTGGAGCGCCGCCCGAAGAAGGGCGACGAGGACTACATCAAGCGCCCCGAGAATGCATTTATTCTCTTCCGGCGCAAATGCTGCGAGGATCGCCAGGCCAAAGACGAAGCCGAGGAGGCCACAGGGCCTGTAAAGAGGCAGCGTCAGGCAGACCTCTCCAAGACGATCAGCCAGCAGTGGAAGACCCTCCCAGCAGAGGAGCGCCTCTACTGGGAGGAGCTCGCAAAGGAGAAAAAGAAGGAGCACGAAGCGATGTACCCCAACTACGTCTATCGTCCCCAGCGCGTCAAGGACAAGGCAAAGGCAGCAAAGAAGGGAAAGAGTCGCAGGGCGGACGGTGAGCCAGATACGGATGCAGAGAGCAGCATTTCGTTCGTCCTTCCTGTTCCGTCACCACCTCGCAGCCTCAGTCGCGACAGCTTGCCCATCGGGCGCGCGCAGAACCGCCGCGCAGCGTCTGCGCCAACGCCACCACCGGCATACCAGACGATCCAGCTTCCGACTGTGTATATGCCGTCGTGTCCTACGTCGCCGTCGCTGAATCCTCTCGCCATCCCAAGGATCAGCCGGCGGCCCACGCACATTCCCCCGCCCACTGACAGCGACCCTCTCACGCATTACGAGTACTTACCGCACGATTCCCTCTTCCCACCGCCGTTCAACCAATCCGTCCCGTTCGAACCTAACCAGGCGGTGCGTGATCTAAGCTGACCGAATGTGCCACTCACCTGACGTTTGTCTTTGCAGACCGACCAGCTTTTCCAACAAATGTTCCAGCTGGAGCAGCCTGCGCTAGCGGGCCAGGTCAACGGTCCCATTTTGCATTCTCTGAGCATTCCTAGAGAGCCTTCAAGTTTGCCGCCCAGTCTGATGTCACCGGCAGAGTCTGTCGCATCAAGCCAGTTCCTGTCGCCTGTAGATCATTTTACGTCGCCCGTGTCGCCATCGTCGCCGCAGGGTGGGCCGTTCACGCCTGTGGACTCGCTCTCGATGATGTCCCTGTCGCTCGCGAACAACGCCTGCGGCCAGCAGATCGGCGGCATGCCCGATAACGCCGGCGAGCTGGCGTACTCGGCCTTCACGTGGCCAGACAGCTCGCTATGGTCCGCCGAGGACATGATGATCCCGGACGACTTTGACCTCAACTCGATCCCGCCAATCGAGCTGGGCCTCTCGCAGTACGACAGCGAGATGCAGCACCTGTCCGCGCTCTCCGCGTCGGTCGGCATGTCGCCAGGGTTCGAACTAGAGGGCGGGGACTTTCCCGCGCTGGGTCAAGAGCACGACCTTCACGAAGCGAACCCCGGACACGATCCGTTCGCGATATTTGACGACATGAACTGGTGATGACGCTGTCAACGTGCGCGGGCGCGCGTTGACGACCTCGCTACACGGACACTGTACTAAAACCGTCAGCTCTTTTTTTCCTTGCATCTCGCTGTTGTACTCACTTCCTCCGTTGGTTTGGAGAACGCCCTTGTGTATGTATCGGATGTACTCGTATTTGCGGTCACCTGTAGTTGTAACCACTTACCCTTTCTCTTCCTATCTTCTTAGCTTGGCCATCTCATTGACACAACAGACTTACGCACCTGCACCCCCTCATTACTGACTTTTTCACTTATCACGGTCCCCCCCCCTTCCTTACCACTCCTCCCCACGCGCGCTCGATACCCGCCGGTTCCGCTTGGTACCCATCACTTATGACATTATTTGTTGTTACGACTTTTTGCTGGTGCGTTCTCGAGGACCAGGTTCAACACGAAACAAGGATTATTAGAGCTTGGAATAGATGTGTGGTGGCACTGGATGAGAGAAGGAATGAGTGCGTGAGTCGCCATGACAGAGTGGCTGCGAGCCGCAAGGTACAGGTGTGATATGGAGCGAATGTGCGTGGGAGAATCTCCCGTTTTGGTAAATTCTCCTTGGCTGCGACCATTGTTCGTCCCCGGTATAGTGCTCCAGATGTTTGTGTTTACCAGTCGTGCCCAAACATCGTAGCGCAAACAGCGATTTTTGTGACCTGGGGGTGTCCTGATTAATTGCTCTATGCTCGTTGTGCTCCAGCTCACCCCGTCGGCCTGTTTAGGTCGAAAGCAATGTCAACGGGTGCGTAAGACAGTAGATCCTTCGTCCCGAAACCCGCCGTTCTGAGCCTCACTCGCCCATGTAGACGTCGCTCTAGCAGCCTGACTAGCATAGCTAAAGCTCTATTACTCAACAACATGTCGATATTAGCTGCGGCGTCTTATCGCGCAGTGTCGATCGTGTATCTGACAAACTACGGTGTACTATCTGCCGACATCTTCACGATCCTCTGCCTCCCCCCCGGGCCCTGCTCACATGGTGTCTGCACATTGAGGGCTAAGACTAGGGCCGTCGTCAAGTAGAGTCTTACTTATCGCGCTTGCCCCGTTTTGGTCCCCTCTGCAGGCATGCTCAGACGGGCCAATCGTCATTAGATTATCGTGCAAATCCTCCCACAAAGCGCACAGGACAATAACAGAGCCTCTCCGCTTGGCAACGAGCCCACTCTTGCGACAGATCCTCAAACCCTAGGTCCGTCCCGTGCGACGAGCGCCGGAACGCAGCGAGGTGTGCGGGACGGACGATACGTGTCGCAGAGTTGTGCAGTTCGTATGGCTGGCCCCTGGGTCGAGAGTGTTCCGAAGATCTGTAGAAATTGGATGGGGGGCCCTTGGTACGTCACTAACCGCGCGACTTCGTGTGTGGGCTCACTGATCCCTAATCCAGCAGAGGGTGTCGCAGGGACAACGGCGGAAGACGGGGTCGGTATGTCTGCATCCTCCTGGAAGGTGGTCTCGGCATTTGCGTGCGTCTTGTGCCGCGCGAGGGAACATACTTGACGCAAAATGGGCTCCACCTCCATGTCTGTACAGACGTTCGACGTTCATTACGGCATCCACCGCGCGCACGAGGGCCGTACAGAGGCGTCCGGCCTTTAGCCGGCTTTAGGTTGGGCATCGCGCTTTCCCTGCACGGCGATTGCTGCAATACATTATGGCATGATGAAGCCAGGAATATGGACACTGGCGCCGCGTGTGGCCATCGCGGAATGCATTGCTTATAGCGGAGAACAATGTGCGCCACAATGTCCCGGCTCGAGTCAAGCTGCACATTTCTGGTAGCGTGCAACTATGTCGCCCAGGGCTCATGACAGACAAGTTCCGTTTTATAGCAGCCCGTCGCTTCTGACGCGGCCCTTTCTCATTTACAGTTTGCGTCCGTCGAACTGGCCTGTTAGTGTGTCGGCTAGCGCCGCGCGTCCCATTGTCCGCTCAATCTGTACCATTGATTGACGTGCGCTCATTATAGGGAACGGGCGACGAGCATGTAAATGGCACCATCTCATCATTAATCCTCATCATTCTGTAAGAATTCAATAAGTGAACACCGCGGATGCCCTTCCATTATAAAACCTGCGCAGATTCTGGAGTCGCACGCTATTCGCAATTTAGGGTAACGGCATGAAGGCCAACGTGTACCCCCCCCCAACTGTCTTCCGATCCCACCCCTGGTTCCAATACGGGTCGAGATGGGCCGCAGGCGTGGGCAGGCCCCAAGTAGGGTCCGCTCTCATCCGGCCAGTCTTTCAGCTGCGATCGCTTTACCGTTCTCATGCACTCAAACTCAAATATGTTCACCTAAACCCACTACGACCAAGATATTCTGG